TTCATACTTCGTACATTCCATGTTCTGATTATTAATGGATGTTTGCAGCTGTTTCTTCTCATCTTGAGATGTGCCCCATCAGCAAATGGAGATCCCCAAAGCTTTACTCTATCCTCATCTTTATGGTCAGCTCTTCTCTGAGGAGGCAGCTCTTCCCCAGTCATATTTTGAGTGCCTTCTGACCTGAGGGGCTCATCTTTCAGCACTATATCAGCTAATGTTTCAGGGCTTTTCCTAAAGTTTTCCAGTAATATATCAGATAGTGTTTCACTGCTATTCATAAGGTTTCCACTGGCCAATTCTTTGAGAAGACAGACATATAGGGTGAACATTTACACTCCTTAGAATAATTAATCATGGGAGAACAAAAGGGCAGTATTTGCACAGGAATATAGCTGAGGGGACAGCAATGCATAGAAAGGAAGAACACAGGGAAGAGATAACTACAGGGAAGAAGTGGGAAAAGAGCTGTTATATTGTGGGGAATTGCAGTCAATGTCATGAAACAAAATGTGTATGAACTGCTGTATACAAAATGAATTTGCTCTGTAAACTTTCACTCAAATCACAATACAATTTTAAAAAAGGGGGGGAAGTCTCTTGTAAAGCCCTTTGTTCAGGAGCTCCAGTCCAAGGCCTGACCAGGGGAGGAGACTGTAGCCCCTAAGGAAAGAGTCACTCCTTACAATGTAAAACTGAGTTGTTGCTTCTTTCCCCGACTCTGACTCCTACTCCCTACCTGACTGCCTATGCTTTGGGCAATAGCCAGAAAAGAAGTAGAGCCTGCAGCATTGGGCTATATTCACCAGGGATGCACATGAAGGCAGGCTGGTGAGAGGAGAGGGCCCTGAATTTGGCAAACTGGTCCAAAGGCACTGCTACAGGAGTCTGTGGGAAAATAAAATCAAGCACTAGAAGGGAACCAGCTTATACAGTTGAGGGCAAATCTTAGTCCTGTTGTCCATTTGACATGTGGCTTTGCACACACTCTCTCACTGGACTGTTGTTGTTGTTGTTGTTAAGTGCCGTCGAGTCGTTTCCGACTCATAGCGACCCCATGCACAGCAGAACGAAACACTGCCCGATCCCG